GGTTGCCCTGGCTGGGAGGGCTTGGGGGGTGGTAATGGTAGTCCCTCGTAATGGTGGTGTCATTCGCCGTGGGCAGCCCTGATTCGGCCGGTTAACTGGACGCTGGACGCAGTTCTCCATCTTCCTCTCGATGTGCAGTGTACAGGGTGCAGAAAGAGGACTGAACCCTTTCCTGCTCTGCTCGCCGCTCGCCTGCAACTTGAACTGCGCTACGACTGGCCTGGCTAACGGCAAACTGGAACGCTGGGCACCCGTCAACCGTCACCGAAGTGCAAACCTCACTTCATCTCCGTCTACATCATTGCCATCCTCCACCAACTGCTTTTTTCTCACCCTGACCAGCATCAATTTTATTCTTCGTCACCTACCGCCGCTTCTGCTTCATCCTATCTCCCCATCGCCCCCTGGAACGCAACGAACATGAGCGTGGATCTGCTGCAATAGGCGTTTTCCGCCTGAGGTTGTGCGTCTCCACGTTTTCACCCGAACCTCGAACACTGCCTCGACAACGACCTTCTGACCTTCAACCTCCCTCCTGTGGCTCTATCTCATCGTCTGCCATCAAACACTACCCTCTCCCATCTCCCGATCGAGTTTCGAGACCAAGCACACGAGTATTGACCCCTCCCGAACCTCGCATGTTGCTCTTTGCAGTCGGCAACACCTGGGTTGTCGAGCCTCTCCCACAGAAAACGGGCCTGAAACACCATGTCTACGCCCTCGATAGCAACCACTCTCCTACCTGCTCACCATAGCCAGTATGGTTATGCTCATCAAAATCTATATTCGCCAACTGCCCGCCCATACCCCACCACCAATACTCTACCGGCACCCCAGCGATTGAACACCTCGTTTCATTCTTACCAAGGTGCCGCTCAGTATCAACGACCTCAACAGTCCCCGGCAATGTCCTACAGGGGCCCCTCGAACGTTTCCACGATGCCTGCGTCCCAGTCTACCTCGGTTCTGCCTGACGCTCACCTCAGAAGACAACCGGACTGGAATGAATTTTACAAAAACGGTATCCCGAAAGAAATCATTGTTATCGACGATGACAGTCCAGACCCTGAATGGCCAGGAGACGCTTCAAGAAGACAGCAGAGACAGGATGCCGCCGGCTACACGTCGAACGCGGGCCGCAAAAGAAGAGGTGATCAAGGCGAAGAGATTGAATACGCAGACAGTCCAACATATTCGACGCACCCAGCCAAATTCGGTGCGTCCTCGTCGTCTGCCTCTTATCATTCCAGTGATCGAACTACCTCCCTCCAGACTGTGACCGCGCCAACCTCGCTCGAATCATATGGCAGCAACCCTGCTAGCAACAGTTACGAAGATGTCAGAGTGGGACAAAAGCGGAAAAGAGCACAACCCCAAAAAGAGACCCGATCACAAGCGGCAAAAAGGAAACAACAAGAATCTGCACCAGACGCTTTTGCAGACTACATACCTCCTCCAAAACCGTTACGAAAAGCCGCGGATGTTCACGTTCCGGTAGTACGAGATACAGAAAAGCATAAAAATCTGAAAGTGGATGATGACGATGGACATTATATCGTGAACCCCGGCACTAAACTTGCTGATCGATGTGAGTATCATCCTTTCTCAGTGACAGTATCTCTCTCTGACAGTTCTTGATAGATGAGATCATCAAGCTCCTTGGGCAAGGCACTTTTGGCAAAGTCGTTGAGGCTTACGATTCGCGAAAGAAGACGAAATGCGCGGTCAAAATCATTCGATCGGTGCAGAAGTACCGCGATGCCTCTCGGATCGAGCTGCGTGTCCTCTCCACGCTTGCTCTGAATGACAAAAACAATCGAAACAAGTGCATCCATCTAAGGGACTCATTCGACTTCCGAAACCACATTTGTATAGTCACGGACCTGCTGGGACAGAGTGTGTTCGATTTCCTCAAAGGAAATGGCTTTGTTCCCTTCCCAAGTACGCAAATCCAGAGTTTTGCCCGGCAACTGTTCACCAGTGTCGCCTGTGAGTTGCGCCCCCCTTTTGGTGCCAGAAACATCGTACTAACCTTGCGCAGTCTTGCACGACTTGAACCTCATCCATACAGATCTCAAGCCTGAAAACATACTGCTGGTTCACAATGCTTACCAAACCTTTACCTACAATCGCTCGATACCTTCATCGTCCCATACCATATCAAGGACAGCTCGACAACGCAGAGTCCTTCTAGACAGTGAGATCCGTCTAATAGACTTTGGCTCTGCTACGTTCGATGACGAATATCACTCTTCAGTGGTATCGACCAGGCATTACAGAGCACCTGAGATCATCTTGCAACTGGGCTGGAGTTTCCCTTGCGACATTTGGAGCATCGGTTGCATCATTGTGGAATTCTTCACAGGCGACGCATTATTCCAAACGCACGATAATCTCGAGCATTTGGCAATGATGGAAGCAGTATGCAATGGCAAGATCGACTCCAAACTAGTCAAGCAAGTATGCGCCGGAGGACGCGGGGCCAACGCAAATTCTGCCGCCAAATTTTTCAACAGGGGGAAACTGGAATATCCTAACAGCGAAACCTCAAAGGGATCTAGGAAATACGTCAAAGCGATGAAGCATCTTCACGTACGTTTGGGGTCCTTGCGCTTGCCTCCACTTGGAGAGTACACTAACGGTGATTCTCATACAGGAATTCATACCTGCCAACTCGTCTTTCAACAGGCATCTGCTTGACCTGTTGCGGAGGATCTTCGTGTATGATCCGAAGAATCGGATCACAGCAAAAGAAGCCCTCAAGCATCCTTGGTTCAAAGAAACCATTGTGGACGACGGTACCGAGGCAATTCGCATACGCGAGGAACGTTCTCTGGTTGAGGACCCGTTTGCTCAGGAAGACGCAAACGTAAAACGGCCGCGAATAGATCAATGACAACCATCGACGCGCTACACCTATGCTTCCAGAGATCGTTGTGCTTCTCATGACGCTGCGGAAAAGCTGAGACTTCCGCTCATGACCTGGCCTACTGTCGTGGCCTGATGTTAAATATGTCGAATTCGGGACTGAGGACGACGCTAATGATTTATTGATCGGATTTGGAAACTTGACAACGCCACTACATACTGAGAGATGCTGGTGGGGCCCATCGGACAATGGGTGAACCTCGTCGGAAAGCCTACGACGATTCGAATTCAACAACTCGCTCAACGAGAGTATCGAAAAGTATTCTTCGTCCAGACAGCGGTGTACGAGAACCGTTGCCTAGAGACGTGCTTTGAAGGGAGGAGAAAGGGAATCGCATTGGACCTTGACTGTCAACTGGACCAGGCGGCCCATGTCTTTCTAGACCTGAAACCGAGTGAGAGGAATGAGAACCAATGCAGAGTACACATTTTGAGGAAAATAAGACTAGGCTAGACATGGGCATGATGCTTTGCCGCGCCTTTACATAGTGATAGCGAAGGTTTAGCTCACAGATAGCAAATATCTTTCCTGCTCCCTGGACAGAGATATGGACATATGCACAGAAGATCGGAAGTTTCAGGGCTACGGCTTAGCCATAGGCATAAAGTAAGGCTGCCATTTTTTCTTATTCTTGTTCCATTCTCGGGCCGGTGTAAGCGCCAGATAAGGGGCTTTCAGCCTTGAGAGACCTACCCACGTACCCGCATAGACAGCCAGCCAGGACGAGTTATTCAGGTAGGTAGGTACCAGCAAGTTGGCCAGGATAGAACTGGGTAGCGTCGCGCAGCAAACCCAGTTCAGTCAAGGTCAGAGTCGGGCAGAAGATGGGGAGTGAAAAGGGCCGAGGTCGAGCGGGCTTCTTTCCACCCCCTCCCCCTTGTGGTCTGTGCATGCGGGTTTTTGGTCCGTCGGTCGGCCGTTTTGAATGCCCTTGCTATCTTGCTACGTTGTGCTCGAGCGGGTTCCTCCGTGTCCAAGTCGGGACATTCTCCAGGTAGCGGATTGCGTTCTCGCATAAGTGCGTAGATGTGTGGGAAGATGCCCTTGTGAGCCCTCTAGAGAGCCTTATTCAAGTACTGCGGCGCTCTGTTTTAGCAGCTATACATACGGAGGGTCTCGCAGAATTTCATCCCCAGCCCAGTCCAAAACCCCACTTCTATCCTTCATTGATCACCTCCGGTGCTGTTGGGGATCCTCACATCCTCTCCGTTGGCCGGTTTGGAAACTTGGTACGAGGTAGTAGGTCTGACTTCACGATGCCGTCGGCTGCATTCTAAACCAGCCTTCTTGTTGAGCTGACTTTGTCTTACAAACGGGTTATGCAGGCAGAATTGCCAGTCCTGAGTTTAGTATGGGTAAAATACGTGTCCTGGGAATAGATGGGGTGGGAGAGCTGGCTCCCAATACAGTTCAAGGCTTACCGGTGGTCGCGGTGGACGCGGGTAGGGCGTTGGATTTCCGTAATGACCGTGGGTTTTGTAAAGAGCAAGAGGTCCGCCTTCCCTAGGCCATCTAGGGGTTGGAGATGGTGAGCATTGATACTGGTCAGGGTAGTGGTAGGGGCATGGAAGGCAGAGTTGGGGTTGGTGATTATGAAGTCTCTCTGGATTGGGAGTTCGAGCGTTGGCATCTGAGCAGGGCCTTGATTGGGATTCAATCTGGGTAATACTTGGATAGAAGCTGGAACGTGAAGACGTCTGGCGCTGTTCCTGCATCCGAGATGCCATCATCTCTTGCTGAGCACATATGTGCTTGGCTTGGTTGTCAGGGGTTGGGGTCTGTTCTTCGGGCCCAGTTCCAGTGCAACCTCAACGCCGCCGGGGAATCAAGGGGTGTTGGCGCTCGATTAGACGGCGGGACGGATGATGTGTCATGACGACTGTGTGATTGCGCGGGAGATAAGGGATAGTCGCACATCCGTCCAGAGATAGACGCAGAAGCAGGCACTTGTTTAGGTCTGATTGAACTAGAGTTTGAATTGCTTGGCCGCATTGCCTGAAAATCGGGTCGAAAAGAGCGGATGGATGCTGTCTTGTCTCGCTTCTGAGAATTAACTATGCTATCGTGATATTCAGCAACTGTAGAACCGCGTGAAGGATCTCTTGACGAATGCGGCGAGCAGCCCCGCCGATTGTCTGGCGGAAAAGAGTTAGTACTGCGATGCACACTAATGGTCGTGGTGCTCCCAATTCTGGTTGACCGGACAATTGAGGGTCGGGGAGATGAGAATCGACTGGACCCCTGACGGTTAGCGGTAGAATTCTGGTGTCCAGCGACGGTTCTTGCGCCCCCAGATCGTATGGAGGATACCGCTGACATGCGGCGAGAACGAGCCCACTGTGGTTCTTGGTTGTCTTCACCGGGCGTATGGGAATCAAGAGCTCGTACGCTGTTTCTCGTCCTAGCTGATGCTGCTTTTGAGGGCTGAAGCGAAGGAGCACACTCTTGTGCTTGCGAATGCCCTCCAGGTTTATCAGGCCCGGCATGGGATCTCGCGCCGCATGCTCTGCCGGAACGCACCTCCGCCTGTGTCGGACAAATGGGTGAATCCTTTTGGTCACGATTGTGATTAGACTTCCTATCCTCTGCACCACTTGCCTCTCCTGCTCCGGCGACGTCTGCAAGAGCGGCCGCTGCGTCATCCTCTACATCTCTGGCTTGAGCCTCCTGTGCCTGTGTTTCTTCATCTTCAATGCCCTCCTCCATGGCTGGCTCCGTCCCGGCTCCCTGTTGGTCATTACCAGGCGTGGTTGCAGTGGTAGCTCTGGCAGACGCTTCGGCAGATATTGCTCCGCGTGCCCGATCCCGCCTGCTCCTCCGAATGGCTTCGATTCGCCGGTACTTGTCGTGCATGCACAGTTTTGCCAGGCCAAACCAGACGCTTGAACGACTGTCACTGCCAGCCCAGCGAAGTCGTGGGATTTGTATCGGCATTTGGCTGAAGGTGGATGAAGGGCATCGACTCCGGCGGCCGACTGGTGGAATGCGAACTCATCGCGGATAAGGCGTAAGATGGGGGTTTATATGGCATAGCTGCTCAAGTCTTTCACCTATCTGTTAATTTGCCGAGTCACTCTAGATCCGGCATGACAGCAACTCTCCATGGTGACTGTACCCGCACTTGGGCCTGAGTGTGTCGCGACGGCTCGTTATTATAGTCTAAGGCGCTGAATGTCAAGAGGAATGACCGGTGCAGGAAAGAGTTAATGAAGGGCATGGTTCACTTGCCGGGACCCGCTTGTTGCTTTGACTGAATACCATTAGCACATGCCGCAGTGAGCATGCTGATTGACCTATTTATGAAAAGCCTGGAGGATTAGTCATTGTTCGACTGGTGCCTCCTGATGCTGAATTGCTGGAGGCGATTTCAATAAGGAGCTGAGCAACGTGGCTAGCCGCTGGCGAGCTCGGCATGGCGTCTGAAAACAAGCTTTTAATTAGGTTTTAGCATCCGAACAAGGGGGGCAGTGGTGACTAAGCCGCCAATGGCGACTTGGCGCAGGAGTGACGGTGCTTGGCGTCTGACATGAGGTGACGAGAAAGCGAAGAGGAAGAGAAGAGCAGCAAGCAAAAATCTTGGTTTGGTGGTATCAGCGGTGGAGGGCTAGTGGGCTGTAACTTATGCTTGTGTATCATCTACCTGTACTCAGTAGAGCCCTTCCCACCCGCATAACGAAGGCACTGCAGGTAGTCGCGCGAATGTCCCTTCCTTGATTCCCCATACTTGGGTACCTCGAAGATAGTACGAGGTAATACGAGGCGAGGGGGTTGATGTGCTCTTTCCCACCCAGCTAACACTCGACTCCCACCTGGGGCGCTCACTGCTCTCTACCAAGTAGACTTGCAAAATCCCTCTGAGGAGTTCCACGGTCATCCAAAACGTCCACCATCCTCATACCTATCGCACAAGATCCATTCCTAGCCCTTCAAACCTCCTTTTACCCAGCTGCTGCTCGCTTATCAAACCCCTCGGTGACCTCCATGCTCGGTACGACACCCGGATCTCGACCTTACAGTAGCTAGACCCCGTCCCTGCAACCCAAGCCTTTTAGCCAAGTTTTACCCTACCACTGTCCCCTTCACTCATTGGAACATTCCTCACTTACCCACCCAGCTTCCATCATCTTACCTGCTACCTAGCCCACTCGCCCAGTAGCACAGTAACCCAGCCTCACTTGGATCCCAAATCTTCGTCAGTCAGCCTCGAATGAACCGTTGTGGTCATCGCTACGAATCCCCCGACAATAATAAGCACTGTATCTCAGCTCAGGATCTGTCCTCCTCGGATTTCTAGTCGTATATCACCCTAAGCTATTCTCTCGTGTGCTACAGCGAGACCATATTCGAGAAACTTCAATCCCTCCGATCCAACGAACCCACTTTCAGCTTACATGCCTTCATGAATTCTCCACCCCATGATGGACACAGCCCATGCTCCTGGGACGGCAAGCCTCACTTCCGCTCGCGGCCCAGACGAAGAATGGTCGCCATTGACAGATGGCTTTGGAGGTTTTGTTGACATTGAAACCCTCTCCGGTGGCTATGGCCAAGCACCTCGAGTTGAAACCGAACATCTGTATGGCGATGATCTGATCGGTGTCAGTATCAGTCGAGCGCAGACCCAGATGAGATCTCCAGACACGCCTGTGGCCGAAAAGGCAAGAGCTCTCAATCTGCCCGTCGAGTACTTTCAGAGAATATTGGCGCTGGCCGAAGAACCTGACCAAGAAAATGACACCGACGAAGCAAACGACAGCCAGCCCAGTACTCCGCACGCCAGTCCTAGGCCACCCACACTCTGCCTGGATAATGCCGAGAGATCCGCCTCTCCCGAGAGAATAGAAACGAGAACCTTGTCGCGCGAGTCGACCTCCGCCAGCCACCAAGGAAGACGCCTCAGTCATACCCTCGAAGGACCAGATCTTCCCTTTGATAGCAGCTATGCATCCCGAGCTTCAAAAGCAGAAGATGCGAATCAACTCGCACGTCCGTTCCGGGAGTGCAAATTCCCACCGCACCCGAGTCGGAAACCACCTACGCCGCCAGTAGACGATCAAATGGCTCAACAGCCCCAACGTTCTGAGGACGATGGATCACGCCTTACCAGCATCGAAGAAGGTGCCCAGTCACAGCACCCTCACAGATTGTCCATCACCAAGAACCTTTTAAGCGGGGCCGGAAGCGAGCGAAGGCGCAGTCTTTCGTCGGCTCCAGCGAACTTGCTTTCCAATTTACGAAAATTGCTACCGGACATTCCTTCTGGTCACTTCAACAGGAGTTCTATATCTCTGTCTCTGTTGCCATCGAGCAATGGAAACTCTGGCCAGCAGAGCCCGTCTAGCGGTCCAATGACACCAACCAGTAGGCAGTTTCGATGGTCCATTCGCGAACCTCCTCAGAGGCGCAGTACTGGCGACGCAACCCGCGGTATGCAGTCGGAACAAGAGCGGGTTCACGACCTGGCCGCCCTGTCGCGGAGTCAGGTGGACGGCAATATGGAATCGCTTCTCTCACCAACCAGTCCGGCTTCCAACGCTAGTCGAGCGCGGTCCAACTCCGAAGGATCTCTGTACATAAGAAGGAGAGTCTCAGGAGTCTCGGCGTACGACGACATTAGCGCCTTTGCCCACGTCTCTGATATGGCCAATTCTCGCTTCAAAGCCATAACGGACAGTTTCCAGAACTCGACCCTGAAACTACCTCGGTTACCGGCTCTTCGACAGGTAGCAAAACGACGTACGTCGCCTGACCAATCGAGTGGAGAAATTCCTCTAGGAATCGACGAAACTAGTGGCGATGGAGGAGGACAGGCTTACCATTCGAGTTCGGCCAAGAAGATATGGAATGCAACAAAGGGCGTTGAGGTGGAAACTCCACAGCAGCGAGCCCATCCAATACTGTCACGCGCCCTCTCAAAGACTACCGGTGACATTGTTGTGCTGGGCGGCTACAGAGGGTCGATTCTAAGATCAGCAAAACCTCCTCATCGGCAGCTTTGGGTCCCCATCAAAGTTGGACTGAACATGCGCAAAGTGGATCTTGAAGTTGGTTTGACGCGTGAAGACGAAGAGCGCATGGAACAAACAATTATTCCGTCTGGCATCCTTTCCCATATCGGGCCGATCGACATCTGCCGAAGATTGCTCAAGCACATGAGAAAATGCCCCAACACACGCGAGAATAAACTCAGAGTCCACGACTGGGGCTATGATTGGCGGCTGTCCCCAGATCTTCTCAGCGGAAAGCTGATCAAGTTCTTGGAATCGCTGGAGTGCAATCATCCAGAGACACCTCACGAAAAAAGAGGTGCCACTGTTATTGCACACAGTCTCGGAGGGTTAATTACACGGCACGCGGTCAATCAACGGCCAGATCTTTTTGCGGGTGTGATCTACGCTGGTGTGCCGCAGCACTGTGTCAATATTCTCGGACCATTGCGGAATGGTGACGATGTGCTTCTCAGTTCGAGAGTCCTCACCGCACAAGTCAATTTCACGCTTCGAACCAGCTACGCTCTGCTTCCGGAAGACGGTCGCTGCTTCATCCAGAAGCACACAAACAAGAGGTACGATCTGGATTTCTTCGATCCGCGCGTCTGGGAAGAATATCGCTTGTCTCCCTGCATCAACCCACCGATACCACACGGCCTCCGAGAGAAAGAAGATCGTAGGAAGAGTATTATCGGAGCTCTTTCCGACAGCATTTCGGGGTCAAACAAGCGTGGATCATGGTTCGGGGGTCAACCTTCTCAGGGGCAGTCCTCCAATCAAACAGATACCAGAGTGGCTTTAGAGGAAGCGAACCAGCGAGCCATGGACAAAGCCCTGGAAGCGGGTCAGGACATGGAAGGCAATGCAGAAGGAATGGTTGGGCCATCAATGAAACAGTCCACCCATCGACCCACCGTTGCGACAACTGTGACAATTCCGAAAGATCTGGCAGAGGAATATCTGGATCGCACACTGGCGGAGATTTCGGTCTTCAAGAAGCAGTTGAATTTCATCCCCGCCCATCAAGAAAACAATCTTTACCCACCCCACGCATTTATTTTTGGGAAGACAGTCCCCACTGTGTACGGAGCCAGAGTCGCAAATAAGGAGGCGATCAAGTACACGGATGTGTTCGATGATCTGGCCTTTGCCGCCGGAGACGGAGTGGTGCTTGCGAGTGCGGCACAGCTGCCAGAAGGGTACCGTTGTGTCAAAGGAGGCAGAGTGGAAAGCGATCGGGGACATGTGGGAATCATGGGCGACCTAGAAGGAGTTGGGCGCTGCCTTGAAGCAGTAGTTGATGGAAGAGCAAAAGGGGTTGGATTGGGGAAAGCACATGCTCGTCGCGCCAGGGATTCGAGCGATTCATGAAGTGACGAAGACCATGAAAGGTGATGACGATGGACTTGGATACACGATACCTGGCGGGCTTTTGTCCTTGTAAGTGCCATTCTTCAAAAAGACTGTGGTTGCGTCTATTCCAACCAATACCCTGTCAAACCCTGTAGAACCCTGAGTTGTGCATCTCTCTGTTTTCTGAGGGTTCGGTTGTGATACTGTTAGCAAGGCTGCGAGCCGCTAGGGGGGCGAGGGGCCGTGGGGGCCATGGTTACGCCTCGGCCCTCCACACTGTGGGGTACTCGCTACTGTGGGGGACTCTCCGCACCCCGCTTCTATCTAGCCTTGCCATTGTAATAAATCGAAGGAAACCATGCTAGACGATCACTAGGAGATAATAGACTTCGACTTTGGCTTTTTCCATCACCATACAGCAAAGCACGAAACACCTGCCTTCATGTTGCAAATCAGTACAATACTGGAGTTGTAGAATTTTGTCACTGCAGAGTCGTCCTACCCACGCTTGTAATAAAGGTCCAAGATGGGTAGGGTGGCTTCATAACAACGTACTGCAACACGTTAACATCTAACATTAACCACAGCAGC